AATACATTTAATTTTTCTTTTGTTTTTAATAAATAGTTTAAGAAGACAAATGTCAAAAAATTAGATGACATATGCCAATGTTTCATGGCTTGAACTTTGAGAAACTTACTATATTATATAAGATTATTACTATTTTTCATGCACCGCATCTATTCCGTTCCACACTGTAACTAGTAGGAGATTTAACATTAACATTAATGTTAGCTTAATTGGCAACCAAAAAATCACAAGTTTTATAATTGTTCTTTCAAATTTGTCGCTCCGCATTCTTTCAAATTTGTCCCTTAATGCACATTACATCAATACACACGTATAAAACTTTCATTAAATTACTACAATCATTGCTTGTCGAACCTGACACAAAACCATGGTTAAGTTAGTATTGTATATATGAGACCCCACTTCTCAACCATAGTTCAGTTAATTTCCATTATGCTAACCATAGTTAAAAATGATCATTGGAAGCTATAGTTATAAAATATCAAGTATCGAACAGTAAAAACATCACAAGAGACAAGAGGACGCATGACCACCGTTAAAACCAACACAGATGGTGGAGATCGAACTGTCTCTAACAAAAAAAAAAAAAAGATTTGCGAATATTATTAGCCAAAAACAGAACACAGAACGTGGTGAACGGATCAAGATGATGCATGTCACTCCCTCGTCTCGGTTCAACGGTGCTTGCTCCTTGTATCGTCGCTGTATAGCCTGATCAGGATCACAACGGTCAAACATCTATAGATCTGATCTTAACCATCCGATCACAAACTCACAACAAGAAAGAAAAACGAAGATGAAGTACGTACCAGTCGTAGACCGTGGGAGAGTTAGGGTGAGAGGGCTTGTCAAAGAGGTTAGTGCCCATTCCTCTGGTTGCTATGTTACTTCCTGGATGAAACACACTCCTCCACACGTTCTCTTTACGTGCCGATCCCGGCGTTGTCGGAGTTCTTGGACTCCCCGCCGACGCCGGACTCGTTAGCACAGCCTTGCTGCTGCTACTTTCTCCTGCTCCTTTCAAAAATCACATATGGTTAAGTAACATGTCCGGTCCGAAGCATACACAAAGAGAAGAAATTATCGCATAAAGTCCATAACTATTTTGGTTACAAAAAATATAGACATGAGGTAATAGTTGATACAAATATATGTGTATACGGTATACCTTTGATGTCAATGGGTTGAGCGGTGATCTTATTGCGGAGGCGGCCAAGGCCATGCTCCGGCTTAGGTCCGGCAACAGTTTCATCCCACATCTTTGTTTTTCTTTTTTGGTGGTTGATTTAATAGTGAAGGATAGGAAGAGTGATGTACTTACTGACGGCTTCCTTCATCTCATTTATAGACCTATTATTTTAAATTATTTCTCAAAATATCTCTACGAAGGTCGAGATTATATTTATCTCACCACCATTTATAGACCTATTATTTTAAACTGCCTTCGTGTAGGACTTGCAGCCTGGAACATCAACCTTGACAGTGAGTCCGAGAATCTTGGATTTTTTTTTTATTCTTCGAAGGGGTTTTAGGCTAATGGATTGCCAAAGGGTCTTCTTGATCATCATGATGGACACTATCATCGTCGGAAGATATGTCCAGCATTCTTGGCTTAAGGTTTGGAGTATTTCTTTGAGCTTTGCTTTTTTGGATTTGGTTTTTTAGACGAGGAAGAAGAATGGGTAGGACTTGGTGGTTTGTGTTTAGGGGGCCTTTTTGGCTCTTGTTTAATCTGATTTGGTGTTAAGAGTGGGATAGACTTGGATAGGTTTTTGACCATAATATAATCTTGGTTGGATATATGGAAGAATTTCTGCATGTTGGCTAAAGAGCAACGGTCGAGATTATATTTATCCCACCATTTAACTCGGAATTCCTTTACTAAGGAATATGACATATCGAGTAGGGTTAGGATAAGGTTAAAATGCCACGAACAGATCCATGGTATATCCATATCTGCGTGGAATGTGATTTTGGTGTAAGGGCCAAGGGTTTGTTTGAGGTAATATGGGTAGGAGTTTTTGAGAATGGTTGGTGGATAAATTTGGTCGGAAGGTCCGAACCAATGCCACCACTCATTAAACCAACCTGGGATGTATTTAGGGAAGTGTTGGTCAAATGAAATAAACCAGGAATAGTCATATGGTCGTAGGTAAAGGAATCTAAAAAAGGCGTTTTGATAGTCTGTGTAAGAATACCCGGGAGGTTGGAATCCGAGTTGTGAGAAGGGTGTTGTGGTATGTAGGTGAAGTAAACCAAGGTCTTGAATAGAGGCTATGCGAAGTATTTTGCAAGTAGAATAGGAAATAAGGTTTGGGTTATTTTTGTCTGGGTAATGACTAATTTCGATAGATTTAGAGTCTACCAGAATATACTCATAAAATGTTCGGTTTTTGGTTATGTTGTCTTTTGGGTAGAGTGTATCTTGGTAATAGGTTCTGTTGGTGAAGGATTGTAGCTCTTTTAGGGTAATAGGTTTGACATAGTGTGTGGTCATAAGATGTTGCATTTGGGGTTTAAGGTAATATTTTGATTTAGCTGGAGGTTCGTGAGTAGGTTTAGAGGCTTGGCTTTTTTCAGTTACGGCCTTTGAGTAGGTTAAAGGAGGAAATTCGGCAAGGGCCGAATATTGATTTTGAATAGTCAAGGGCTTGCCTTGAAGATGAGGTTGATTCTTGACATAGTCCGATGCGGTCATCGGCTTTTTGTTTTTCTGGTCACTCATCTTGAATAGTTTGTTGAGTATCTGTAGTTTTACCCTGCAAATATTCTCTTGTTAGAAAATCTAGTAAAGAATTATTTTCTCCATTAATGTATTGAATATCAAAATCAAAGAGTGATAAAATAGCTTGTCATTTGGCAAAAAATTGTTTGGATACTAAATTTTTGAAATCTTTTCTTAAGATTTCTTTAGCGGACTTACAGTCAACTTTTAGTAAGAATTTCTTATTAATTAAGTTGTCTTGAAATTTTGATATGTAGTTAACTATAGAAAGAACTTCTTTTTTAACAGTTGAATAATTTTTTCTGTGGTCCTATCCAGACACCAGAGTGAAATCTAACTATGGTTTCTTGACTAGATTCGGCTAATCTTTGTTTTAGAATGCCTCCATATCCGATTTCTGAAGCATCAGTTTCAACTACCATATGAGCTTCAGGGTTTGGTATAGTTACAAGGAAGGGTTTTAACCTTTTATTTAATTTGTCGGACAAATTGAGTATGTTGATTGGTCCAAGGTTTTGGACTTTTTTGAAGTCGTTGAAATAGCGGTTGAATAGTTTTTCTAAGATTTGGTAGAAAATCTGAAACATAGTTTAGACATCCTAAAAATCTTTGTAATTGTGTTTTTTCCCTTAGTTCATCAGGGAATTTGTCTGCAAATTCTATTGATCTTGAAATAGGAGTAATAGTTCGTTGGTATATATTATGTCCTAAAAATCTAATTTTTGTTTGGAATAAAGACATTTTCTTAGCTGATACTACTAAGCCATGTCTTTTGACTAT